ACTTTGTTTTATTTTATTTTTGTATATTGTATTAAATTTTTCTATTATTACTTCAGTTTTACTTTCTTTTATTATAATAAAAAAAAAATCCCTTAAATTTCGTAAAAAACAAATTGGAACTTAAGTAACTCGACAGGTTTCCTTTAAGAACTCTAAAAGAACTCTAAAGCTTAACCTTTTTACTGCGCCAAGTCGCAACGTGTTTGAAATCCGCTTATAGGATTCATGTTGTCTTTAAGTTGGAGTGCATTTTAGTGATCTTCATCGTTAGCAGCTTCATCTCCGGCCAGGTGTGGTGCGGCATGGTGTGGTGTGGTGCTTGGCCATGGCCAAAAGGAAGTAATCCATTCTGCGCGCAGTTCTCAATATCACTTTCAGCGACAACTTCCTGCGCGTCGCATCATCAAAAACTGTTGGCACTTTGCATACAAATGTGGCCCGGTGGGACGGCGGCAGAACTTATCGCAACATTTTAATAACTGCCGGCAACAGTAGCCAACTGCATTTGTTGACTCTGCCACAGAGCTGGCTGGCTGGCTGGCTGGCTGGCTGGCTCGCTGGCTGTTGCAGCTGAGTTTCAGCCTCGGCGTCGGCTTCGGCTTCTCGCTGTAGCAGCTTGAGCCGTGACAGCTTTCATTAATTACCAAGAAAAGCGAGTTTTTTTATGCCGCTGCACTTTTCCTGCCAGTCAGCAGAGTCAGCTTCGCTCAAATCTAAGTAGTCTATATATAAGTATTTTCCGCAAGCGGCCAGCCCGTCAACAGGTTGGCTCTGGCTGGCCCTAACTGGGCAGGGCTACCGGCTACTCCAGCTGCTGGTGCTGGTGCGATGAGGCGGACGAGGCTCGGGTTCTTATCTAGCGTCAACATCACGCAACATGCGCGTAATTTTATGAATGAAGTGCTCGCTGCCGGCCAGGATTCGACTCGTATTCGTACTCGGAACTGGTCAGGCAGCCTCTTAATTGCACTCGCACCTATTTTTTACAGCATCAGCAACAGGGCAGGGCAACGGGGCCAGCAACGGCGTGAAGGCGGCTAACAGCAGCAGCAGCAACAGCAGCAACAGCAGGCAACAGTTTGTCAGCCAGGTTAACAAATTGCGTTAAAGCGTTGCAGCTATCGTGAACCGGTTTTTGTGCACATCTGTGCCATGTGTTCTGGCGCACTTGTTGCATCAGCAACAACAGACAGTAACAAGAACAACAACAACAATAACAACATCAGCATCAACATCAACAGCAACATCAAGCATCACCTGAAACTGGTCAAGAGGCAGCAGCACTGAACGTTGCCTTTTCACTTGCTGACTGCGACGCGCTTATTAAATATGATTATGCGTTCGATTGCGAGGCAGCTTGTAGTTTGGGCCTGGCGACTGGCGACTGGCGAATGGAGACTGGGGATTTGAGACTAGAGAGTAGAGAGCAGAGAGTGCCAGCCCAGCACAGGAAGTGGAGCCGCGCCAGGCGTCGTCACATTGGCAGTCAGGCTTAGAACATGCCTAGAACCAAAGCGAATATACGGCCCACCAATTCCCTGCTGACCTCCCCACTTCAGTCGCCCCTTGCTGCCACCTGCCGCAGCTTGGCATTGGCAACGGCTGCTGCCAACTGCTGCCCACTTTTAATGAAGTTTTCCGTTTCGTGTCGCCGCTGGCTCGGCTCGGCTCGGCTTGGCTGGAAGGTAGCTTCTATTATACACTACATAATAATGGCATGAGTTTGACGACTGCTAAGCGAGCTTGTAGCTTTMGTTATATACAGACATACATACATATATAAATTTGTAATTGCGAGCTAGTTAAATCTACCAGATAATAGACAGCCTAGGCGTATTTGTTTTAATGGCTCAAAGCAAACACATATATAAATAAGTACGCATACGATTCATTTCAATTAAAGTAATTGTACAATGTATAATTTAATATTAATAACAATATTTAAATCAAGGCTGCCAGCCAAACCCGTTTGAACCCAAAACTCTTATTTAATAATGCCCAAAGAAACAACCAAACCCAAACCGAAAGCAAACAAAATTTTTCTTAGAATCCAGCTGGCTTTAATAAACAAAACTTTGAAGGGTGGCCCACTGGTCCATCACCAGCTATAGCTATACATATATACAATTTTATTAAACTAGCAATGCATGTGGATAAATTTGAAAATATTTGATAAGCCAAGGGTTGGAGTGTTATAGAAATGATGATGTATGAGCATATATACATATGTATATGTATAAATTTCCTTGAATATTTTATTAACTTAATTCTCGATTGCAAAATTTATAAATATTTTTCATCCCAGCACAAATAAAGAGAGAGAGAGAGAGACAGAGTGAGAGACGCGAAAAGAGGCCTGAAAGAGTATTGACTTTTTCCACTATCCTTTTCAGTTCGTTTTTCTGTTTTCTGCTTTCTGCTTTTGTTTTTATTTTTATTTTATAATTGTAAGGTCGAGTAGAATAAAAGTCCATTGCGCGTTCAAATGTTTTAATTAAAATTTAATGAATTCACTGTATTTAATTATGCATTGTTTCTGTTTCTGTTGCTGTTGCTGTTGCTGTTGACACTCGCACGGAGCAACTAAACCATGTTGGAAAATTAATTTTAATTATTTTGTTATTGCCAGCCTTTGAATTCGGCAAGTGACAATCTGGGCGATTTAAGGTCCACTAGGCCAGAGAGCTGTGCAATTGCAGACAGTAATTAAAATAACATTTATTCATTTTATTTGCAATGAAAACATTTTCTATTATGCTCACATATCAAATTTTTCTGAAATTTGCAATTGCAACGTTTTGAAATTGCAGCTTTAATTAATTGACATTTCAGGGGTTCCACATACATAAACAAACAGTGCATTAAAAAAAAAAAAAAACAACAACAACCACAACGACAACAAAAAAGAAATCAATTGATAGAAAAAATAAATTATTTTTCAATAAAATTGAAAACGTAAACAATTTACAGACCAAACAGCAAATTGAAAAGTAAAATAATTTTTATTAAATTTATTAACATTTCAAACAAAGTCAATTGCATATTTTGCAACAACAATACCTAATGGCTGTAAACAAATATTATTTTATATCAAAACTTATTTGTTATTTATATATTGAAATAACAAAAAAAAATGTGTTTTCAATATAAAATATAGGGAATGCGAATTGAATTAAAGCATAAATATTTAATAAAAAGAAAACCATATATGTGAATCTCATAAACTCCACTTGAACCTAAATTAATTTCTCCAGAAACACTCAGATTTGAGAAACATTTTTGTTAGTTCTTCGTAGAGATTTGATATTATTAAAGTAAAGTCTGCGTTTGGCATTAGCAAACATATACTTTTGGAAACACATATATGAACACTCATACACACACACACACACACACACATTGCCAAAACAAAAATTGAAGTCGGTGTGTGCACATGCCATTTCACATGAAAACATACTTATGTAACAGAAAGTAAGTAAAGAAAATAAAGCCATACATAAACAAAAAGTTTCGGAGAATCGTTTAATACATTGTTGTGGCAACTTTTCCAAGGGGCATATATTAGACAGATACACATACTTACATAGATATGCTCATATATATTTCCCAATGTATGTGTATAAGTAGCTAAAGACAAAATCTAAGCCGTCTAATGATTTCATTCTGGGGGCAGTGAAAGCTAGCTAGCACAGACTAATTCTCTGATCCGCTAATGCTGGCTCCATAAATTAGGAAATAAATATTATTAAATGTGTCATTAATTAAGCGAACCAGCGACGCTATTAATTAATAAAATTTCTAAACAAAAAGCCGACGCCGTTAAGTCTGGCCCCGAAAACAATTAGCCAAGCATTTAAGGTGTAAGCCAACACGCCCACCAAATGCTGCGCGGAAGAGTGAGAGGGGGCAGACCCCCAGCGAAAATGATGAACAAAGCCAAGCGCTGATTGATGGCAATAGACAAATTTGAGCTCTGCGGCAAAGTCATGTGGCATAATGAAGCAGGTGGCTGGGCTCGTAGGCGTTAAGTATCCAGCGGGCATCCGAAGCGAGAACCCAAAATTAGTTATCAACCCAAGGAAAGGTAAAAAATGTTGTGATATTAATTTTGGAAAATTTTTAAGTTATTTTTATTCAAATACTTTTGTTTGAAGTTACAAAAATTTGTTGTGGGTGTTTTTTTTTTTTTTTTTGTAATTTAATTTTTTATGGTTTTATTTAAGTTTGATTTTATATAGTACACATGCTTATCTTGTTTAAATGCAAAGATCTGAAATCTAAGTTTAAGTTGAACATTTTGTTTTTCTTTCTCATTTCTTTTTGTTTGCATTATAATTTTAGACTTTCCTCTGTTTTTCGCTTTTCTGCTTTGTTTAACATAATTTTTGGCGCTTGCGCGTGTACGCATATGTTTATCATGTATATATTTTATTGTCATGCATGATAAAAASTCGTTGAATTCGTGTAAATATGGTATATATGTATGTATGTATATATGTTTTGCATTTGTATATGTTTCGTGTATATACCTTAAGCTAATTTAAATCGGCGCTTAAATCTAGCGAAAGTCACGCTTAAAATTACTTTTTTTGTTATAATTGATTAAGGAATTGATCCTTCATATGATTTCAAATCGTTTGTTTTTGTTTTAATTTTTTGCTGGCTGTTTCTTCTCGCTTTTCTTCGGTTGAAAATCTTTACGCTTATCGGGCTTATATGAAGTATATAGAGATATATTGGTATGTCTAGAGCTTAAACTTGAACAACTGCTAATGAGAATGAGTCACGACTCAACAGACTCGTTAATATTTACGCTAATTGCTAAAAATCGTAATTGCTACTACTTAATATCGAGAAAAATGCCTACAAATTAATATTTGAGTGTTTTGTTGTTTCTACTAATGCTGCAGCTTCTTCTTCATCATCTTCATCGTTTTCGTTTTATACCTCTTCTTCTTCATCGTCTCGTTCCTTCATTAATGTTGTATTTGCGGTTGTCTGTCCATTGTTGTCAGAGTATTTGTGTATGTGTGTGTGTGTGTGTGTGTGTGTGGATGGGGGGCAAGCATTTGTAGAGTGGGTTGCGCACCTGCCCCAAAGGCTAATCCATTGCCATCAGCTTCGGCTTTGGCATCGGCATGGGCAACGCCATTGATTGATGTGAATCGAAGTTTTGATGTGCGTGCTGGGTATCGTGATGCGGTTAGCCGAACCGAGCCGAGCCAGTTGAGAGTGGAGAGCCTTGGACACAGGTACTTATCACAGCCTTCGAGCGCCGCATGCAAATGTCTTTTCTCAAAATACATTCAACATGTTTCCTCCATTTGCGCTTCATAATAATCAACGTCATTTAGTAATAATTATAAACAGAAAACAAAAACTTGCAACAGCAGCCCAGCCAAGCCAAGCAGCCAAGCCCCAGCAACAAAAACCTCCAATTGACTGAATCGACTCAATTTCAATTTCATGTTATGCGATGTGCGATGTTGGAGTTGTTTCTGCCGTTTTGTGGTCGGTCGTATTGTTGTGATGTGTGATGTCAATCAGTCCAGCTGGGCTTGGCCGCTGTTTGTAGTTGTTGTTGTTGGCTTTCGTCATGCGGCTTAGTAGGTCTGTCGATGAAATAATAGAAAAGAGGGAAAGGGGCGAACGAGAGTGGGTATTAAATTTAATAAGCCATTATCAATAACAATGCTTAAAGTAGGGCAGCCCTTCAAAGTGTGAATGGATTGCTATCATAAACATTTTAATTAGCATTAACTATCAGCAGGCATAACTATGATGAGTAATCGATATGGGTAATAAGAGATGTATAGATGAAATACTAGAATAAATACTTCATTAAATAAATGAATAAAAAAAAATTAAATTAAATTAATAAAGTACATATACAAA